GGGACAGGGCGCTAGCAAAATATTGATACATCCATTTCCTTACAGCAGCAAAAGCAAGAGTGGCGATTTTGTGCTAGCATGTGGCGCACTTTCTAGAGACTCGCCCTCAATGTCAATTCTCGGTGGGATCAGGCGGTTTGAGTCCTCTGTGAATCTGGGGTCGGTCAATAGATATCAGAGAGGTGTGGGAGAGCAAAAACATTGAATTATACAAGATAGGTCGGCTCCTCGAGTATAAGGAGTTGCTATGTAGGTGCACCAGCGCAAAAAGCTCATCTTCTTGACAAGAACAAAGTAATAAATCATAAACAGCACAAATCTATCGTTAAGCAGCCAAAGTTGCCTGATCCACTATGGCAGTCAGTTAACTTAGTAAATGGTCTATTATTGCAGTTGCTTTGGGAATCTTGCCTTTCTTTTCTGCTGATGGACCCTGGTATATACAGTTTAATTCATGAAATTTTAAGCAACATTTTATCGGTAAAGTTCCACAGAACTTCTTTAAGTTCTCGAACAGATAATTACAGTTGCCGTTAAGATGAATTGTAATGTTTTGCAGCCCGTTGACGCACGCAATTTAAAGAAGCATTGCTCGCTGTGTGATTGTTTTTGCACTCAACAAGTGAAAGGTTCAGTATCGAACAGCTGCAGATAAATGCCGAAAACAAAGGCATGGCTCAATTGATCCGATTTTCCAGAAAGGTCTGCCATATGCTCTACTTTGTCCCGCTATGACTCACTGTTTTAGCAACTGAGCCTTATACCTATCCGACTAGGAGGTAATACGATAGCGGCAAGTGGCCTTAGCAAGAGGGAATAGGTTCGTGAATTGGATTTTGGATCAGCTCCTGCCTATGCCAGCCGAACCTCTTCAGGGACACTTAGTTGATTCATAGGAATGTGGCCTCCTGCTCTGCAGTTGGCAAACGAAGAAGAGAGCAGATATAGATAGGAGTGAATGACATATGTCTTACCAGAGATGAGTGTGATATACAACTAGGGAAGGCAGAGTCACTACCTTTTCGTTGAATGCCTAATAATTGGCCCTTTACGAAGGCAGAGCTTGGCCCTGCACTTTACAAATGAAAGCTGAAAGGTAAAAGATCCCACGCTGTTTAAACTGGAATTTCATGGTAATCATTTCGAGAGACGTCCTTCGAACCCATCAAAATGCTCAGTTGTTTCCGATTGCTCAGGTGGCTCCTTTTTCTAATGATGAGTCAATCCAGTTTCACACGGCTTATACTTCCTCCATGAGAGATTGTCACGTCAGGACAGCTTCTGAGATTTTCCGGGTTCTTTTTGATTGTAACACTATTTTTCCTCTGTTCGACATTGTTGCCATTGTTTTCGTAAGATTTATAATATCCGAGACATGCAGCGCTTATCCCAAAGACGACCCTGTTCGTCCTTCATTCACGAATTAGTTTCACCGATTCCGGCTACCTTGTTTTACAGGGAAAACTAATCCATCGGAGTTATACCAATGAAGCACCTCACATGTTTAACTCAAATCTTCGTATGTAAAGCACTTCTTTGAATTATATCAGACCACTGGAGAAACTAATCCGGGTCGCCTTCACAGGCTGACTATATACGGCTCGACTGCTTCAAAATCTTCAGAGCATGAAGATGCTTTGGTTAGACGGCAGGTTGCACGCATGGTTGTCCTACTTAGCCTAGAAGCTAGTAGGGCGCTGTATAGTGGGGAAATGGCGAAAGAACGGAGTGAAACGGTCAAATCCGGCGAAGAAAAAGCCTCCGTTCTCAGTGACTTGTAAATCGATTTCGGACGAGTTATATCCCAGCGTACGCATCTTGCCAAACGACCGCTACGAACGGGATACGGTGCATATGTGTACCGTATATGCATGCAGCATCACCGCCGCTTCATACCAATCCCTTTGCTTTATAATTTGCTCAGCAAATGACTGAATACGAGCGTCAGAACGGTCGTCCGTTTGTGGGCGGGCGGGCAAGGAAGGCGTTTGGGACGTAAAGTTGTTGCTCAATAGGGCGTTGTAGAGGTACCCCCCTTGGGAAAGGCTTCACGCAGCGCCTGTCCGGGTCACAGGAATCTGTTCAAGGCCAGTTTGTCCAAATCTACTCCTTAGTATAACGATTTATCGTGCAACTGCGTTAAGTAGACTGAGCCTTTCGCAAGCTAGGGGCTCTTCACCAGCCATGCACTTATTTCTCTCCTTGACAAACATTGTCACTGAACTACCATTTTATTGAAAAATCTGACCGTGAAAGCCCAAACTTCTTCGTCTCTCTTGAACAACCGTGGAAATTTCTTCCTTCAAAGGCAAGAGTGAATCAACTGCTTTTACAATGTTACCTTGCTGTTTTCGCTAAAAAAGCTCTTTCACTTTTTGTTCATCTCACCCCTTTTCAGGCGATGTCGTTCGACTTAGAGAGCTGTGAGCTCTCCTCGTCATCATGCTCAATTGACGATAAACTACCATCCACCAACAATCTGATACGAGGCAAGGAAGGACAATACGCAGTTGGTCGAAAACTTGCTCAAGGTCGCTATGGTGCTGTTTACGAGGTGAAGCTCGCTCATAATGAATTTTTGATTCAATATTTAATGCTGCATCTTGGTCGCCTATTCATCCAGAAGCACAGGTTTGGTGATAATTATGAACACACGCAAAATAGCCGTCCATTCATGGGAGCCCCTTTTGCGGGACCTTCTTGGTTATAAGTAAAAAAAACATGCACGAACATATAACTTGTGTTAATGTTCGAGGTTGTTTCGTGGTGCTTCGATGCAAACTTGAAATGTTTGTCAACCGAGGATAGTCCGAGTACTGTTCCTCCCAGCCTAGCTTTGGGCGCCACATTCAACTGAACTATCCACGGTTACCGCATCTTAGGGATTCGGAACATACTTATCGGCCACTCTGTACTGTACCATGATTGAACTTCAAATTACATACTCATTTTGAAGCAACGATCTTGCATGAAAGCTGAAGCTATTACCCTTCAAAGATGCGCTATATAAGCAAGTTCAGGGTTTGAATTCGTGCTCTCATAAAGACACATGGTACGCTCAAACACATTGAGGGTGTATGAGACTATCAGCCCCCAGCTGTCGATGTGTCGTGGTCCCCCCGCCCAAAACTGCACGGGGTCAGAGTACGGGGCCGTGGGAAAGTCGTAATTCCTTGCTACACCGCCCGTTTCGCAAACTCACGTTTTTACTAACACCGTCCGCGCGGCGCGTGCAGCTCTCTTGGCTTTTTGCCAAGTCCTGTAATTGCGCTTTGGAATACAAGTACAACGCAATTTCTTTATGCGGATAACATTTTAGGTGCTGCAAAATAAGAACCGAAGATGATGACGAGGGCTAGAACTCAAGAGCAACTGTGCTGCTTCTGCAACAGCCCTCGCAGGCCGCGCATTCCCACAAAACATCAAAATAAAAACGGCCTAAGCGTCCCACTCGTTAGTTTGAAGTATTTCTATAGCATTAGAGCCGGATTCGAGCCGGATCGCAGAAATGCACACGCGATTTAATTAATTTGTTTCCTTAGTTTTTTTCAATTTTGTTTTATTTACATCTACATTCGTTGTTGTTCATTTCTAGCCTTTGTCATCTTCATCACCTTCTATTCGGACTTTGAAGCATGAGCAATACCTCAAATGTTAGGAAATTGCGTTTTGCTTGTATTGCCATGTTTTATTGTCATGTTGTCCGTTTTTACTGTCATGTTCTGTGGGATTGCGCGGCCTCTGAGGGCTGTTGCAGAAGCCAGGCAGGCAATTGCTCTTGAGTTCTAAGCCCTGACGTACCATTATCGTTCTTATTTTGCAGCACCTAAAATGTTATCCGCATAAAGAAATTGCGTTGTACTTGTATTCCAAAGCTGAATTACAGGACTTGGCAAAAAGCCAAGAGAGCTGCACGCGACCGCGCCCCGCGGATGGTGTTAGTAAAAAAACGTGAGTTTGCGAAACTGGGCGGTGTGTAGCAAGGAATTACGACATTCCCACGGCTCCGTAATCTGACCCCTTGCAGTTTTGGGCGGGGGGACCACACACACCAATCCGAGCTGGGGCTGATTCTCATACACCTTGTGTTTGGGCGTACAATGTGTTATTTAAAACACAGTCGGGCTCATCCACAAGGTTGTGGCCAACTAAATTAAGTTAAGGCAGTTTTTTTGCTATGGTCATTCACGGATGTATTTTTGTTTTTTATGGGCACACACGCTTAGAGTGTATTGGAAATAAAAATAAAATAAAAATAGTTTCAAACGTCCTGCAAATAAATATGGCGGCAGATGAACAATGTCTAGAGAGGGAAGCGAAGGTTTCGCCTTCAAAAACTGAACATTGCATGCGAGCCAACGCGCCGACGTAAGCCTCTAACAAAACCCTGCAGTGGTTCACCTAGGGGGACTCAGACATCCCTGCAGAATCTCAGACCTCGCACTTTTCGCCTTGCATGGAACTTTTATCTGCGAACACGAGTCTGTTTACCAGTATTTTCAGGTTTTACGTAAATCCGATGGAAGGCCATTTGCATGCAAACTCGAAATATGCGGTGCAAACTCTCATGGCTTGGATATGGACTATGTGGTGATGAGTCAAGCAGCTAAACGAGGTTTTTTTTGTTTTTCGTACCTGCAGGGTTGAAAATGTCATAAGACTCTTCTTAACAAAGTCAGTCAGAAAATTGCGGGAGGGGTAAGTTCAATTCCACTGTTCAATAGTGTGGTGCCGAAGCAGGAAAGCGTGGAGTTGTTAAAAAATAGTCAATAGAGTAGGTTCTTCACCAGTTGCTGAAGCGCATAAGCGATGACGGTTGGAGGGAGCTAACTGATGGAAACGGTATGATACAGTATTCT